TATAGAAACTCTATGTGGTTATAATAATTTGTTGTTTTTATAAAGGTATCCCATTCTTCAGGAAGAATCCAGCTCAAAGTAGGCGAACAGTAACTAACTTGTGTGGCTATGTGTTCTTGTAAACTATATTGTCATAAAATTAATAAGAGGGGTTTAGTCAAAGAAAGATATTTTTTGAGCTTCTTATACACACAGAGAAAGATAATGCTGTGTTAGTCATAATTACATGTATTATGAGCATCCCACAATTAAATTTATTTTTGCATGTGGAGAAAGTGTCTTTCAGACAAAGGAGATGAAAAGTAATCTTGGCAACAACAAAAATAATAGGAGTAAATAGACATATTCTATGAGTCACTGGTGAGTACATCCCACAAATGAGCTCTTCCTGTAAGTCAGCTGGGTATTAAGTACTACTACTATGCAAGTCCCTCAGTCTGATTTAGTGATTTTTTTCTGAGGATAAATTTCAAATAGCTTTCCCTCAAAAGCAGGTTACCCACAACTATGTGATGTCATATATGTCAACACATTTCCAATGTATCTTCTTTGTATGCTACCTAATCTATTAATATTATCAGAGCTGTGACATTTCCTTTTATTTCTACATCTTCATATGAACTGTATCCCCTTATATACCAGTGTAAAAATATATTGGAGATTGCTACTATTTATGGTGTTAGGTGTCCCAGATGCTTTTTTCATGATGCTATGTGTATGAATACTACAAAAAAGGATCAGATTTATGAAGAAAGCTTAATATATTGTAAGCGTAATCTATTAGGCTTAAATTAAAAAGTATCAAATGGTTATCTACCTGATGATGCCCACAAATTAATTCCTAAATTAGCATCATCTTCGCTAAGTGTATCTTTACCCACAATGCTGGAGATACATTTCAGAATTTGACATAATATCCTTGAGTTTTGATGAGGAGGTGATTAGGTTTCCAAATTAGGGTTTTGTTACCTCTGGAAAGCAATTTCATGTAGTGTTGTTTGAATAGCTAAGTGGCAAATGTCTATATGGCAATGAAGGTTTATTATATTGTTAATTATTTAAGCTATTTATAGTTGTTAAATTTTTTAGTATTTAAGTTCTGCTATTCAATGTGCTGCATTTATTCCGTGCTTTTGAATCTTTAATATAAAATAAGAGCCTTGGAAAAAAAAAAATCAGGGATTGACGGCGGTGGAGAACTTTATCATCAGCAACAGTCTGATCTCGGCAGCATGTACCTGTACAAACAAATTTGAAAATTTGAGACTCTTCTCTGTCGTGATTTGTAAGATTTGGAGTCAATCTGTATATCCTGAATTCTGTACTGTAATGAGTGATATCATCTGCTACAGTACCTTGTAGTTCTCATGATACAGCTCACTATAGTGATAAATATAATCTCTGCTATAAACTAGTTCTTTTTGCAAGCAAAATTCACCAGACTTGTGGTCATATGCAAGGTACAAAATTTGTCTGGTGTCTGTGTTGTGTTACACCACAGAATCTTCAGCCACTGATATATGAGCAGCACAATTCTATACACACAGTGTCAACTCTAGGAAGAGTTTACCCCAGTGAATAACTACTTATATAAACACGGGCTTCAGGAATTCATACCACTCTTGATTGAAACAGTACTGAGGAATGGAAGCTGCTTGAAATCTCTTGGAACTTTTGTAATTACAAAATTACTCTCATCTGTGAGTGAGTTTGAAGAAAAAGTGTTTGGGGCTGCTTGGGTTTGAGTTCAAAGAATAACTGTGGTTTGCCAGGGCAAGAAGTAGGTAATTAAAGCAATATTTAGAGACACGCTGAGAGCTTCAAAATGGGATGATTTTAAGGCTAACATTTTCTAGACTAGAGTGGAAAGAAAGTGAACATAACCCAAAAATGTATTAATGCATGTCTCATTGAATCCCCTAAGAGTGTCTGAGTGTTGTACAGTAACTGCAGTTATTATCAGAGAACTGACTGCAAGAGTTGTTTTCTGACATTTTCAGAGTATTATGGGCCTGTGAGTTGCCACACCAAACTTGCTCAATTCACAAGTCAAAACAAGACTTTATTATAAAGCTAACAGTGCAACCCCAGTCTATTGTCTGAAAGTTGGCCACTGCTATTGCTTCATACACCCCTACCAAAGGGGTGACTTTGGACTCAGGGCTTCTGTTACACTTCTCTTGGTGAACTCTAATGCCAAACAAAATTTGCTTTTTAGTTCTGCAGCAAACTGAGTCATTGGTGTTAGTGGTAATGATTCATTTTCTCTGAGAGTTTAAGAGACACATGCTGTAAAACGTAAATTCACTAAATGTATGTGAAGGTTTAGGTAGTAGGCTTATTATTTATTATTATTCAGTATTGCAGATAGGTATTGAGATGTTTCCACATTAGGGCTTAAATATTCTCCTGTGAACTGTGATTTTCTAATATTTGTGGTCTTCTCAACTGCTGCAGAGGGGACATGCCCATTATCAAAAATTACTTGATTAAACTAGAATATGTGTTAGAAAATATTGTTCCAGTTATTGTGCTACTGGTGTACTGTACTGATTTTTCTTTTTATTTTTCTTTTTTTCCCCTCTCCCTTTGACTTCTAGTGCTTATAGAGCTGAACTTCCCATGTTTGAAGTGATTGATACTGCATTATGGTTGATTTGAAAGACACAATGAGTTATGCAGCTAATAGCCCACCAAATCTTCATTTCTTTTCAATTTTTCAGAGCATAGATATTTCCATTCAAAGTTTTTTCTTACACAGTTGACATTGTTTAAAGGTTGAGTAGAAATATTCTTTTCATGTGCACAGTTTTCTCAGCGGGTTCGGGGGTTTGGTTGAACGTCAGGGCTGAGCCAGCCCAGTGCCTTGCCATTGCCACCAGGAGTGGCACCATCCACCTTGTCCCTCCTTCCCACCTCCCCTTTCCTCTCCCAAGCCACGCTTTACTCAGCCTGGGACACACCCTCCTCTCTGCTGGCTCCTGCACTTACTGGCTGCACGGGAAACTGGAATGACTGAAATCCCTTTGCCTTTTTGCTGGGTGAATTCTCTGCACAGAGCCAGCTCCTGGTGCGCTCAGAGAAGTGCTGAAGCCCAGCAGCAGCAGGGCCCTCACACCTGGGAGGAAGAGGAGGTGAGGAAGAACCAGATCTTCCTATTTTAGCTGCAGCCAACTTGCAACTGATTTAGTTATGCCATGTCTCTATGTATTAACAAAATTACCTAGGTAATTTGGGGTTTCTTCATGGTGTAAAACTACATAAACATTTAAGAAAATGACAGTTAATGCCTGGATTGCTGCCGTGACTGTGCTGGGCCAGAGCTGGAGTAATCCCATTGATTTTAGTGTGATTATTCCACATTCTAAGCTGTGAAAATTGGTGACACCCACCAAACTGATTTATGAAAGCTTTATGGTAGACCCCAATTTTTTAGTAAATTTCATTAGTTTAGCTGCAGACTTTGAGTTTTGGTTTTCCTCTGTAATTGACTCAGTAAAAAAATTTTGTCATTCACTGTAAATGTTAGTATGCCTTTGAAATCAAGGTTTTAAAAGACTTCTAAAAATGTGTTTAGTAGTGTATTGACCTTTATTGTCCTTGAAGAGCAGATCTGAATATTTTTCAAGTATTTATAAATTTATACATTTATACCCGTGAATCAAGACAGTCTGTAGACTCATAACACATATTGCTAGGGTCAGTAGTAAAAAGAATATTTAAATCCTTTTAGCTACTACCATTTCCAGAGAACAATGGCAGAACTCCAGTGTAGAAAGATGACAGTAGTCAAAGAATTTCCTAGGTGAGAAAAGATACTGCCAAGGATCAAGTAGCTTTCTTTCAAGGAGTGAATTTAGCGCTTATGTTTTGTTGTTATGTTTTTATGGTTGAAAACAATTGACATGAGACTTTGTAAAATGTGTAAACATTCAAATAAAATAACTGCATGGACTTGAGCTACTGTAGTTTTATGTTTTTAGTGTTGAATATTCTTTGCTTTATTTTTAATGTTCTCCAATGATAATAGGAATTTAAAATATATTGTTCAAATTTTGTTTTATTTTTGTGGTCCTAATTGCCTTGAAATAAATGCATAAACCTAAAATAGTATTTTAAAATCAAACTTGTTAAAGCCACTTGAAACATAACATCTCTCTATAGATATTATTTCTGTTTTCATAGCAGCATATTTATAGACAGATAGTTTTATGTTTATAGCTGATTATTCCTTCAGAGGTCCTGGAAGGACTGGGGTAATCAGCTCAGGATGGTGACTTGAGAACATTTTGGAACACCCCATCTCTATCGTGTATTAGAAATAGATGCATGAAAGCAGTCTAATTCTGTTATTATTCATTTTAGAGGCAGAAGTCTTATCCTTTTATTGATCTACATTTAGGCTACATTTTTGTACCTAAAGCTCTCTGTGGTAGCTGTAGATTTTTTCTAAATCACCAAGAGAAGCCAGCACCATGTACTTTACTAAGCAAAAACTCTTCTGAGGAAAGAAATTAGAGGAACAACCACTAAAGAGAGTGATATTATTTCCACAGAATCCCACATCATCCCAAGCAAGTACCTTTGCTTACACTGTTTTTGCTTACATTTTTTAGTAAACTCAGCTGCTCACATCTCCAGATATATATTCAGTGTCGAATTCTCTATGAGTGCTTTCACTGCTGCTTGTTTGTAGCATACAAAATCCAGTTTTATGTTAACTAGGTGGGTTGCTGAGTTGCCAGCATGCCATTCTGGATTGGGCATTTGTGAATTGTTTTAAGCACCAAAGCGGACAATGAAAGCTTTATCTCGATTCCCCAATTAGCAGTAATCATTCTTGCTAAACTTTGATAAAGAGCTGTACTATGCAATGAATGTAAAGTATTCATTCCTGAGCAGTTTTTTTTTTTTGTTGGTTTTTTTTTTCCCCCTCTCCCAACATTTCTGTGTTTTGTAAAATAGTCTTATCCTGCTTGTTATTTCTATTCATGTTGCAGATTGAGAATGTTGATGTCTGCCTTAGCTTTCTGGCAGCCAGAGGCGTAAATGTCCAAGGTCTTTCTGCAGAAGGTAAGAGAAACAAATCATCAGAACAAATAACAAGATTTTCTTCTGAAAGCTGAATTTCTTAACACAAATCACTTGCACCTAAATACCAAGCTCCAGCTGTCTTGAACAGCATGCAGATATAGATTAATGATAACAAGTGAGAGAGTTTCCTTTTAATTTTTCCCTTGAAATTGAACCAAGAAATGCAATGTTTATGAATCGTGAGACACTGTTTTAAAACAATATTTTTTCAATGGTATTAATCTTTTAATGTTAGCTCCACAATATTAGATAGGCAAAGAACTTCCTGAGCATACTTTTTTAAAAAAATTGTTCATATATTTGATTCAAAACAGCAAACAAGAACATAAGAATCCTGCTCAGTTAAATAAACCCAGGGAAGACTATTTGTTTCAGCAAATTTATTATTAGTAGTAATGCTGTCCAGATGAGTCTGAAAATTATAGTATTCCTTTGATGTCACCTATTAAGTCAAAGAGTGAATGGTTTTGCTGCTTCAGTTATTCTGCTGTATTAGTCACCTTAAATGATTGCCAAATGTGGTTGCAACTAAATTAATAAATATAATAAATAAAAACCATTAAAGATACCAGTTGTCTTAATAATTACATAATATTGCCTTGTTCATGTAAGAGGCAAGTGAATTAATAACATGTATATGTCTTTGTCGTGTAGCAAATTAAGCAGTTCTGCAAGGTGTTGCACACCTTCAAAATCCCTTTGACCTCTATGGCACCTGAAGGTAACAGGTCCAGAGATGCAACCCTGTATTTTTATTTTGCTTGTAGCATAACTAAAAGTTGGAAGGATTTTTTTTTTTTTTTTCCCCAGAGATGGTAATTTCAGTTGAATTCTAGAAGATGCATGGAGAAAAAATTTGGAATGCTAACCACTCTTTGATTGTGAAATTAACTCATAATTACTATCTTTCACTATCTGAACCTATCTAGGATTTTAAACATGCAACACAGACATGATGTGTTCTATCTATTCACCTTGATTGTCAAATTGAAAAGCTCCCTCAGTGATTCAGGAGAACCTTTGTGTCTACTTGTAGATATCCTGTTGCAACAGAATATTGAAAGTTTGCATTCTCTCATTCACCTCTAAGTTATTTAGAACCAGAATTTCTAGAGCAACCTATCTTTACTTTGATATAAAGTATGAATTTATGTGTGAATAGCATGAATTTATTTTTTGAGGATACTCATCATTCTCATACTCATCAATATGTCATGACATGGTACATGACATATTTTCTGTACTTTTAAAAATCAGAATCTGCCTGCATTCTGCAATGCCTTTATTCCTACCTTTGTTTTACTTCAGAAAATAATTTTAAAAGGATATATGCTTCAATTGTGTAGCTTTAAGTTCATGTGCTACTAAAAGCAATACTACTACATAGGACTAAATGCAAGGACTATGATTTAAAATGCTCTTTATTCTTCAAAACCAAATTTTAATGTTTAGTGCTGAAGTAAGATTAAAATTAATTCTGCTGTTACACAATTGGTCATGAATCTAAATCCACTACTACCTTCATAATGATATTCTTCAAAGTCCTGCAGAGGTGTGATTTCCTTAAATATACCATTTTTACTGTGTATAATCCTGAAATTACAATTTTATAGGGGGAGAAGAAATTGAGTTTCTTGTAATAAGCTTTGGTAAACGTGTCTTGTTACTACTGGGTCATTTATTAATGACCACAGAGGTTGCAGAACAATAAACCATTAGCTTAACAAGTTTTGAAGATTTCACAGTCATTTTATGACCTCATTTTGACAATTGAACAAAGAGGTCTAAAAAAAAAGTAATTTTCAAATCTTGGCTACCCAATCTCTGCTTGAGAGCCCAGTTGATAAATAATTGTCCAGTTGCTACAAAGAAAATCTTCTCATTTTCCAAGTATATGTTTAGTACACATGAGAATTTTCTGGATTTTTTGCTTGTGAGAAATATTCTAACTTCAACTCTATTAAAATTAGGAAAGAAAAAGTTAGTGATAGCGTCCTTCCCTAAAGATAGTAACAAATATATTAACACAAAAGGAGCAAAATTTAAGATTGAAAAATGTTGAGTGGGATTTAAGAAAGGATTCTTCTTCTGAGCATGAAGTGATGCAAAATGATAAGAATAAATAAACTGGTGTCACGTACTGAGAGTCTTCTCAAAACAGAGCCACTTAAAATGGATAGTTACATGTTTTTTTGGGAGTGTTTTTAGGATAATTTTAAATACAAATTTTCTGTCTTCCTTGACAGTGATCTTCCTTGAAACCAACATGACTGCAAAGTTGTCTTTGCCTAAAAAGTTTACTTGGCTCTGGGAAAGTTCTACATATCTCTTATGGTCTCATTGATAATCAAATATCCTGCAGCATCTTCACAGAGGAGATGAATAAGTATGGCTGCTTAGAATAGATTCACATTTTGAAAAGTATATTTCAGTGTCCAGGATTAGGTTTGATTTTGAAGAACATGTTGTGAGCATAAAAGCTCCAGTGTTTACTGCCTTAGTATACGTATTATCATTTCACCTAATCCTATTGAAAAAAAAAATTTGGTTTAAGAGACATGAAAATGACAATAATTCGTATAAATTCAGCTTGAAAATTTCCTTGGGAAAGCTGTGCAGTACACACAGCTCAGTATTTTGATTTGCAGGGAAGGCAGGAAGGTTGTGGCATTGCATGTCAGGTTGCAAGTCTATAAGTCTAATAAAAACCTTTCCCAAGATGGTCAGTGCCAAAGAAAATTAATAATGAAGTTATGAACAGACCTACATGCTGCAGATAATTTCATTAAAGTCTTCTGAGGTTTCTTTTTGTCACTGAAATCCTTTATCAGCAAAGAATAACAATATCCTTGTAAAATCTTCATCTCAGGCTGGGAAAAAACTAAAAAAGTAATGGGAGTCATAGGGATGCTACTGGGGTTCACCAGAATTATATTCAGGTAGCTGTTTAGCCTTGTCAAAGCTGCAGTTTTTGTCTTTATTATCAGTAATAGCAGTATAAAATAAAAAGCTATAAAATCCTGTCATTTGAAAGTTCAAAGATGTAATCAGCAGCATTACAGTCACCTTTTTTAAAAGCAACCTTAACATTTATTTTCTTCTCTTACGTTTCCTGCACACCTCTGTATGAATGGATAGATGCTCACTGACAATAACCATTACCATACAGTCTTTTTGATTTTTCCAGAACTCACTGTTTATTACCATACAATCTTTTTGATTTTTCCAGAACTCACTGTTTATTACCAATGTGCACAGAATTTGCTCCAAAAGCAAAAAGAGTAATTTAAAGTCATGAGGTTTGAAGGGATGTATATTTAAGACTAGAAAGAATTCAGATTTTTTTCTTAATGAGCTGTTCCTTAATTAGAATATTTGTACTTTGCTGGGACAGTACATTTCAGAATTGTGTCTTATTTAAGGTTGGATATACTCTTGTTTATGACCATGCAAATGTCTCATCATGAAGGCATTGTAGAGATAGCATTGCAACACTGACACATAAAAACCTAAAATTATAATAAAAAATATGCTATCAGTGACACCTAAAATGTCTCTGATATTACAGGTAAATTAGGAGATATAAGACATAAACATGTATAGCTATAGGTATGTACAGAAATACTTTAGTATGACTTTTACAAAACTGAAATCTACAACCAAAGTGTTTTCACTTCCTTTTCTCTTTTGCTTTTTTAATAGAAATAAGGAATGGAAATTTGAAAGCCATTTTAGGGCTGTTTTTCAGTTTGTCTCGGTACAAACAGCAGCAACATCATCAGCAACAGTACTACCAGTCCTTGGTGGAGTTACAACAGCAAGTCCCTTCAACTCCAGCTGAAATCAGCCAGTCCAAAACGCACCAAGATATGCAGTCAAGGTAGGTTAAACAGTTATTTTTCTCAGGTCTAAAAGCTTTTTATTTTTCTGTTCAAAAAAGACAAAATTTTGTTTAAAAAATAGGCTATTTAATTGTTTTTTAGCTATTTACACAGTGGTTTCAATGTGTTTTTTGATAGTAAGCCCAGATTTCTTGGGAGTAAAGTTAGAGTGAGTGCAGAGAACAATACCAATTAGTTTAAGTTCCAACTTTAGTTAATTGTTAGCCTTTCTTTGACTTTATTATTGATTTTTCTGAATTGCACAATAAGAGGCTGCTAGCACACCATGTGGTTAGTATACTGGTTATTTTCATGTTTTCTTCACATTCCCAATTCCACATGTAAATGAAAATTTTCCAATAATCAACAAAAAAGATGGGGAAAAGGCATAATTAATACTTTCATTTGTTATAAACTCTTTTTATCTCCACACATTCTGGTTTTTGAGGGCCTAATTCTATTCCAATGTTTTGTAGAAGAAGAATTCTTCTCCAATGTTTTGGAGAAGAAATAGCCTAAATCTAGTTGGTTTTTTTAAGTGGGCAGTTTTTACTCAGTTTTAAGAAAACAAAGCACTCATTGGAACCCAATAATCGCTGAATTACATTGCTTTCAGACTATACCTGAAAACATATTTTCAGAAGGTAGTTGCTTGAAGGCCAGTATAGAAGAAGGAGTTTGAAACAGAAATATCTGTTTAAATAGAATGAATATTAACAATGTATATTTTATTGGGGAAGTTTAAAAAAAGTCAACTGTAGATCATCATGAAGAGTTTTGTCTGTTGCTTTGTTGGGTTCAGTGTTCAATTTTTTATATCCTTGTTCAAAACATTTTTGTGGATTTACTGAACAACTGTATGTTGAGAGTGTGGTAAATCAATGATCTAGATTGGATTAAAAGTATCAGAATAATATATTGAGATTCTGGTTCTTAATTCCATTGATATATAAATTACACTTTCATGTATATAATAAACATATTTCTTCTTAAATGGACGAAGCTTTAACACTTCAGCCTGATAGAAATCTGTATCTTGGAACTAGAAATGTTTTAAAAATATATTTTGGAGGGACATGTTGCTAATAGCTTGTTAATTACCGCATTTGATGCAAAAATTAAGATACATGTGTTTGGCTGGGGCATTATGAAGTGAAATGCTTTTATTTTCTCTGCTGCTGAAAATTAATGTCTTTGAAGGTTTTCCCTGTGAAGTATACTATTAACGTGTAATCTAGGAAATTATGGTCAGGTCCTAGGAGAGTCTGACCATTCTCAACATTTTCAAAAGCTGAATTTCTGCTTTATGGAGGATATTTGATACTGCATAAGAGACAATGACATCTTGTTATTCAGGAAATAAGTGTTCACAGCTTTAATCAGGGGAATTAAGAGCTTAGCCAGATTCCTATAAGTACCTTTGGTTACTGTTTTTTGTTTTTAATTTAGTGAAAGAACTGAAATATTTCCTGATTTGATAATTTATCCATGGTGAATTTTTAATAACAAAAACACATTACAGTGTTCTTTGTATCATGACTATTGCAAGAGTTTGTCCCAAAAAGCCTGGATACAGCAGGTTTCTTACTATTTGGATGATGGTGATTCCACATGGTAGGCAAAGAGGTGTTGAATCTTTTATTAAGCTTTCCATTATAATTCCCTGAGATCTCCTGGTACTTCTTCACTTTTTTATTCTTATCTATTTTGCTATGTTAAAACATGCTTCATTAAGAAGAAGAGAAATTATTCCATGTCCCAGATTGTTCACATTTATGATTTTGTAGTGACATCTAAGGCGGCTGTAAAAAAATTTCAACTTTCATCAGTGTGCTTTAAACCTTCCACTGTAATCTAGGAGTTTAAAATAATTTAATTATTTGATTAAATTTATGTTCATAGCTAAGTTTCAGATGTAAAATATTTCTATGCAAAAAATTACCAGACCAAGATTGATGGCATTTTTCTTATTTCTTATCTGTAAACTGAAAGCAAAATTTTTTCTATTTGCTTTCACATACAGAGAAGTTTGATGCTTGTTAATATAAAGTCTGTATTGCCTGAGGGAATATGGTTTCTTCTATCCATATATTTTTCATTTAAGTCTTTAAGGATAAAAAAAGATGCCTACCAAAAACTTTCTCCTATATGAAAATTTTCTATCATCTACTATAAATTTAAGTACATCTAGTATTATGAGCTCTGAGCAAAACAAGGAGCCCTGGAACTTAGAAACAAACAGAAATACAATTTTTTTTCAATACTAATTTTTTTTTATTTGTCAAATTTTGAAGTAATATAAATAAAGTAGCATAAAATAATATTTCCCTTCCTAAGAAAAATGACTACATGTCAAAACAAGTTTTCCACTAATAGATGGGCATATATAAACATCCACTGATGTGAATTATCTCTGGTGGACTTACCAACACTTCTTTTCATAGCAGCCATTTATTTCAAGTAATTATTTCCCAATAAAATAAATAATTTGAAATATTATTTAAAAATATTTACCTTTCTAGTTTAAAGATGATAATGAGTAAATAAAAGCTTCTTTTTAGAAAGAAGCCAAAATATGAATTAAACAATAAAAGATTACTTTGGTGAGATCTATTTTGCCTCTTGCCCATTTTTGCTGTCTGAAATGTAGGCAGGTAGCTTATGTGATTCCTCAAACTGATTTCTATGATTGCTTTCATGTCAGGTGTCTCAGCTATATATATTACAAATGCCACCAACATAACTGAGCTGGGGGAAGCTCATGGTTTAAAAGGTCCTTAGGAACTCACATGGCTGCTCTATCAGACACTTGAGATCTTTAGATCTTTTTGGCAAAAAGTAGTTTCATACAGATACTGAAACCTACACATTTCACTGTATGGAGAATTTTGGAAAGTGATAAAATCTGAAGTGTATATTAATGTACATTCTGCACACTGTCCATATGAAATTAACTCAATAGGTAATCTAACTGCTATCAATCAAAAATGGAGTCATTTTACTTTTTTTCTGAAGTGCTGTTGATAAAACAAGCTGTTTTATCCTTTCATAGTAAATGTTTATCTTAATGGCTATTTATTATTACACAATTATTGTGCAGGTATGCCATTCTTTATTACCATGTTGCTGTTCTGAATATGTTTATAAAAATTCTTGATTCTTTCTGTTTTCTAACATTTGTAACATAACTGTGGAAAGGTTTGGTATGCAGAAGCCCTAAGGCAGAAAATCCATTACAGTGTATATTTTGGAAAAAATATTTGGCAAATGCACTACTAGAGAGTAGTTTCCATTAAATTGACCTGTGGTCTTTTATTATCTAGAAATAGTTCTTTCAGGTTTTTGAAAGGAACAAGAATTATCTTATTATTATGGCAGAAGCCAGATAATGAATATAGCTGCTAACACTTGAATGGGACATTTGTCTTTTTTCAGTAATGGCAAAATGCTTCCAAACTAATTTGAGTAAATTTTCAAGGGTATTTTGAAAATCATCTTCTTACACCATGGGTATTTTATTTCACTGGAAGACTCACACGTATTTACTTTGCATATTTACCTGAGAAATAAGGATGTCTTTTTGATGCCCTCTGTACATTTAAGTGCATTTGATATCGATGTGCTTGTATGTGTGCCTATATGTAAGTAAAAGAAAAATATATACATTGAAAAAGGTGGGTGATTTTATAGATGATACATTTTCTTAAATCTTCAGTAATCAGCCACATATAAACTATGTCTTAGTTTATATTAATAACTGAGGTTATTTTAGGTTACAATATTCTGTAAGAAAAGTTATCTTCTTCATTGCTTCCAGGTAATGTATACTAAGCATATTGTGTAATGTCAACTTTATTTCCTAGGAGGTAAAAAGCTGTTGTATTTTCTTTATTAAACAAATAAAAGAAGGCGATTCCCTTCACTTTTTCCAAGAGAAATATAGATTTCACATGGGAGAAGGAAATACCTCTGAGAAGTCACACTGAAAATGGTCAGATAGATAACAGAGGTTGCTGAAGACCAAGAAAGTTTTGGCTTTGTATGTGCAGGGCTAGCATCTCACTCTCCTAATTTAAAAGGCTGGTCCTGCTGGTGATGGTGGTGATGATGGTACTCATCCCCATTTCCAGGTTATGATGTCCTCAGTAATGATCAATGTCTGTGATCATTACCACATCTGAACATTTCCATGTGCCACTGAAGACAAGCTACTTTTATACAGTGTTTGAGCCCTTTGTCAACAGAAACTGAAACAGGCACCAAAATATATTAGGTCTCTACAGGTTTCATACACAGGCTGTTTTGCTAAGAAGCCCTGGGGGACGGGTATAATCAGAATATCACAAGGCTGGACAGGTTAGATTTGTGCAGAAATGGGGAATTCAGGAGACTGATCCAGGGGGCTGCTTGTCCTCATGTGACTAGGAGACAACACAGAGAGGAAAGTAATTAAACCAATTTCTGGAGGAACCTCTCTTTCCTAAGTGCAAAGTTAGCATGGGAGGATAGTGAACCTTCTTTTACAGGCTCCTTACAAAGTTATCCAAAATCGGTCAGTGTGGCAGTGCTTTAACATTCCTGTTCCCTAGTAAGCTGTCTGTGACCAATGTCAGAATTGTGAAAGTTGTGCATACAGAAGGCAAGCAAGATTCTTCTTGTGAAAGAGTATTATTTGCCTATCTAGTCCTATGGCCAACAGCAACATTTCAAATTAAATGTAAAAGGAAGGAAGGAAGTTGATTCATGGTAAGTGAAATTGCCTTGCAAAAAGCATACATTCTTTATGGAAGATCATACTTTTGTACCAGTAATTATAAAAACTCTGAAATTATTAGACTGTTAGTGAAAAAATCTAGAGTAAATAAATAGTAACCAAAGACAAAGAATAGTTTTAGATGTGATTTCTGATTTCTTTTTACCCTAAAATTTCCTGTATTCTTCCATGACTAACTGTGAGAACTGAATATTTCAAAATTTGAAGTTGGCATTTCACTCTTTC